TTTTGTTCTCCTTCAGTCAACTTGTCTCAAAACTACTTTCCTCATGTTGGCAAAATGAGAATTTGTTATAGAATTACTGGCAGGTGTCTTTGGAGTCACATTGATCAATTAGTTACCCAGAACCAAATGGCCAAAGAAACAGAATCTATTGATTAGCTCAGCTCAGGGCTCTGCCCCAGTAACAGGATATAAGCTTACTCTTTTTGTGAATCTTTAACCTCTCTACCTTTTCATTTTCTTCCCATTTCTCTACATATTCCCAATGCTCTTTCTCAGGAAACCTTTTCTAGACTGGGTTCCAGGCATGGAGGAAAAGCCTCAGAACTATTCAAAAATCTCTAATATTCAATCTATGCCTAGAATTTTTTGCTGTACCTAAAAATTTAGGTGTTTGGAAACCAGAGCCAGAACGTTGTCTTTTCTTTTGTGTTTCATCCTAGCTAATCTCTCCTTTGTGACAGTGCTCGCTTGATACTTAATTTTTCTCTTTCTTGAGTCAGAAGAGTTAGAAAGTATTGCAGTTATTTAATTCAAACACTTGCATTTGTCTGTGGAGACAAGACATCCCACATACATAATACTTATTTCAGTAATCATCAGCATGTTCCTCTTGATGAGATTTTTTTGTAGTTGCAATAAACTCTAAAGAACCCCTGGTTGATACGATTGACCAAATAAATAAGAACATTTCTATTTCCAAGCCTATGGATACAGAGACTTGAGCATGCACACAATCTTAATATACCCCCTCAAGAGTCCTTGCAGGAAACTCAATAGCTCTTAGCTTGGATTCCTATTAGCAGAGACAGATAAATCTAGGTATTTTCATTATCATCAGCTGTTTTAGGTTTGATACGGAACCTAACAATCTTTGTTTGGGATTCTCCTTTTGTCCTATAGTGTAAAATGTAAACAAGCAACAACAACGCGGAGGAAAGAAAATCCAGCTTTTATTATTCCAGACCAGTGAAACCTTAACTACATTTCATTACACATCTTGAGATGTTTGGGCTATTTTTCTGAACACAACAATGCTTCAAAAATCTATGTCTAAGCATCAAAGAAATCTACACCCAAAAGGATGAATCTGCCTGCTTATAGAATAGCTCTTTTCTTTTTCTCTCCAAAATTAAGAAAATCGATTTGGAGACTGAAGACATAATTATTTATATGTAGCATTTACCATATCTTCAGTAGATGTCCACTTTCTTCAGTATTATTACTATGTGACAAAGCTATATATTCTATCTAAACTCCTAGTCTCAGCCTTAAAATCTGTTTCCTTTTCAGCCCCAATGGGCAGCAGAGAGCATTTGTAGTTAATATGGGAATCGGTTGAAATTTTAAGAGAAGGATCCCTGTCAGAAAGCACTTTATTTAAGAAGTGTAATCAATGATAAGCCAAAGGAAAATGTACAAAACTTTGAGGAATGAGGACATGACCTGGTTGTTTTGAACTGTGATCCATGTGTACTATTAAAGATGTTGGAGGAGGGGGATTTAGCTCAGTGGTTCTGTTGCCTGCCTGCCTCCCAAGCGCAAGGTCCTGAGTTCAACCCCCAGTACCCAGAAAAACAAAGATGAAACCATACTAAGGAAAGGCACACTGGGGTGAAAGTAGATAACCAAACATCATCTAGGTGAACAATACATAAAGGTTACCTGATATTAGTCTTATGTTATCACCTACACATACAGTCCTTTTAACCAGGCTTCTTCCTTCAATAGTCTACTTATAACAATGACTGGCATAGAGTGGGCACTTCGATAGATAGATAGATAGATAGATACATACATACATACATACATACATACATACATGCATACATAGACAGATGGATAGATTAACAAAAGAGCCACCTTCAGATTTTTGCATGTTTTGTCCCTCCAGTTACCTTCTGCTCAAGGAATGGCATTCAGCATTGAATCTTCAGATAGATATGTGAAGATATTTATGTATAGATTATATAAAGATTCCAAAAACAGTATTGAAAGAAACAATCTTTTCTTCCATATCGCATTGGTTTAGAAGAGATGTAAGCATAAAGACATGCTTGCAAGACCAATCCCTACCCATACATCCATTCAGAATAGACAGACGTTTCTTTGGGGAAAGCAGGTAAATATATGAGTGGGAGTCATGGGGAGAACAATGCAGCACACATTTCTCTCCAAATGTTTTCATTACCTTTTTTAATCTGACAGTCAAAAGGAAGACTATAAACCGTAAGCGGGAAACAAGCCCTCTCACACAGATGAAAAAGAGAGGTGTTCTCTGTCATTCTGGCAAACCAATCTCATCCTGTTGGAAAGAGAAGTCTAACATCTGTCAGCATTCTAGGTTGCTGCAGCTGCCCCAGCTCAGAATGTCTGCATTCTGCAGTCTCTCCCTTGAGCCTCTAACTCTACCCCTTCGAAACACATGGACACAAAGAAGCTGTAGAGCAATAGTTCAGAACATGAGCAAAATACTGAGAAAGCCATAAAAAGAATTATTTCCCCAAAGCGTACACTAAACAAAATGTGTATTCCACAATAGTGGTTTTTTTAAATTCATTAAGTTTAGTGGTACATTTTAGGTATACAATATGATGACATTCATCATTGGGAATTTGTACCTTTACCTGATGTATCTTGGTTCTTATTTTTTCCCCATTCTCCTGCCCTCCCTTCAACCCCTCCACCCCTCCCTATTTACAAAGACTCTGTTTCCATTTTTTTTTCCTTTTCACATATTTATTCCTTTCCCTCTTTCCTTTCCATAATAATTTTTTTCCTATCAGGGCTTTGTCATTAATAATTTCACCAAACCAACTAACAGGAAGAACTTTAAAAACTTCATAAATACATGAAAATTAATCTATATGCTCCTACACAATGGATCAATTTAAAAAAATTAAAAGGAAATTTTTTAAAATCTTAAGAAAATATGAAAATAATACATATGATAAACAGAAAAACAGTTCTCAGAGAATTTTATAGCTATAAATGCCAACATATAAAAGAAAGATCTCATATAAACAATATAACATTGTATCTCAAGGAACTGAACAGAAACTAAGTCCAAAGTAAGTAGGAAAAAGGAAATAAAATTATGAGAACATATGTAAGTAAAATAGAGTCTGGAAAAACAGTAAAAAAATCAATAAAATAGGTTTTTTAGCTAGACCAAGAAAAGACTCCGGATCAGAAATCAAAAGAGAGACAATTTAACTGATACAGCAGAAATACAATTTATCATAAGAGAATATTGTGAATAATTATTTGTCAACAAATTAGATAACAA